GTAGTGATCTTAGCAACACAAAGATCTAGCGTTTAACTGCGGATCTTATCGTAACAATCAGCGGAGACTACTGCAATGGAGTAATTATTAGTACACAGTTTGGGTTTATGCTGTTTAAATTTAGGTTAGTCTTTGTAAATCTTACTCCTTAGAAGCCGTATGTTGCATTGCTAAAATATTTATAAATATATCCAAAATGGAATTATGCAACAGCTAAGCATTCATTTTGTTGTGAATGCCTAAGTCCCACTTCCTATTTGTAGTGTTTTCAAAAAGGTAATCTTCAACTTTACGGTTGTTTGTTCTTCCTCTGTAAGGATGTTTGCACTGACTTTCATTGGTATCCATAGAAATTTTCCATGAATAAAACCTTTGAAAAGCTGTAATGGTTAAAGAATTTATTTGTCATCTGCATAGAATTCGATAAAGTAGCTCGGTTGCATGTTAATGTTTTTTCCCCTTGTACAAAAAAAATCTATTTTATTTCAGTGTAATTATAATGGAGGGGGAGTGGAAAATAATTGGTGCTTGCATCTCATCCTTTTCAAACTGGAATATGGGTCATGTTCAGAAATGCCGTTTAGTGGCAGTTTGTCTAAATTTTTAATGTAGGCATGGTGTGAAGCTTGCTTATTGTTAGATGCGTGCACACACTCATATTGACTCTGACTCTGGACAGCATTGCGAAAGACAAGCAAACAAATATCAAAAAGCATAGAATGTATCTGAACATTGAGATTCAAGCTATGCAAGTTTAAAAGCTGAGCATACTTATTCAGTAGCTCCCATTTCTTTCAGGATTTTCCCTTCACAAGTTCTAGCTGTTGAAATGCTGATATGAAGTATCTTTCCATGAATGATTCCCCTCCTCCCATTCCAAATATATATTTTGTCCCCTCTTAGCCTGCGTTGCTTCTCCTTCCTTCAGTCCTGTGTTTGCTTGTTCATAAATGCAATGATTACAAAAGCAGAGTAACGTCTGAGAGACTGTGGTGGTGGTGTTCACATGACTAATACTGTGAAAGATAGCAAGATTTTTTTTTTTGAGCAGCTCCAGTCTACGCACAGTTGGTTCCCAGCTGACAGACAGAATGTGGGGTGGGCTTTGTCACCAGAACGCTGGGTACTGCATGCCCAGCTATGCTTGCAATTACACGGTGCCCAGAAACCTGCTGCTTATGTCAGGGTGCAGGCAGTTTAAACACATAGAAACTGGGTAGTTTTTCCCCTCTTTCTTCCTAGAAAAGGTTATGTAATGAGGGGATTGCTGCTAAAGTAAGAGAAAATGAAGTCTTTGTTAAATGCCTTAACAAAGAAAGAAGGTAAGCAATGAACTCAGAAAATTTGATGTTTGAGAAATGATATTTTCTTGTGTACCTTTAATATGATCTGCTTACTTATTGTATACTTAATCAGTTCTTGCCATTTCTTTTTTCAAAATTCTTGTCTGTCAGAGCATCCGTTTAGGCAACTAATTATTAGATCTAGTTGGTACCTGACTTACTCATTTTAGTTTTTTCTTAAACTTAGGTAGATATAGAAAATGTTCTATTTTTCTAAGAAATCCATCTGAAGATGTATAAGCGATTTCTTTGGTGAATATTATCACTGTAAGCTCCTTAATTGTCCTCTCATAAGTATGGATTGTTAGGTATAAAATTCTGAGAGCTGGAAGGAAAGTATTATTTAATTCTTAGGTTTGATATAAAGGTACAATAATTACTTGATTTGAAACTTAAAAGCATGGAATTTGTTGAGATGTCTTCATGTCATTTTATAATATTTGTTTCTCCAAACAACCTTTGCAATAAGAATTTAAGATCTGTAAAATAATTAACTAACAATAAAAATATTGTTTAGTTTAAAGAGTTTAAAGCATGTACCCTTGTTTCATTATTTTGTGGTGTAGTTATTTTTTATTGTGAAAATAATATAAATATTGTCATGTAAGAGGCAGCTAAGAAAATATCCACCCACTTACAGTTTGCAGATTGCCGGGGAAAAAACAGTTGGTTGGAATATTAATCATTTTGGGCATGAAAGAGGTTATTTTTAACTCTTTCTGCATAGATATGTGCCTAAAAAAATCCTAATTGTGGTTTTGATAATTTTCCCATTACCTTCACAAAGAAAATGTTAGTCTTTAATTCAAAAAGTAAAGACTAATTTTACTTGCAGCTATCTCTTTAAGAATATACAATTGGGATCAAACCAAATGTTAATTCCAAAATTATTATTAAAATCCTCTGCACTTGAAGTATTCAGTGGGCAAAGATAAATTTACATGAAACCTGAGAAATATATAAATGTTTTTTTATTTGGAGTGGTATGCACAGTTTTCATTCTTCTCAAACTTGTCAATGTAAATGTGCTCAGAAATACTCATCCCATTCTGTCAATTAATCCTCTGATATCTCTGCAATATGCAGAACTATTAAACCCCTTCCCCCCAAACCTTTCAACTTTTTTACAATAAGTCTTCAGTAGATAGATTCTAATTTTTCATGAGCTTAACTATGAGCATTCAAAAGCTTAGTGTGGAGTCTCCATCCTGTCCATTTTGTGAACTAACAAATAATTCTAAGGGCCACATCTGGGTCCTCTTTGAAGCCAAATGCAAAACTCCCATTAACTTCAATTGGAGATATATGTATATATAAATGCTATAAATAGGCAAGCCTGTACTATTGTATACACATTATTTTGTGTAATCTTTATTAAAAGAAAATATTTTACCTTATTTTATCCCATAAGATCTTACACACAATCTGCCTCTCTTCAGTGACATTGTTAGTAAGAAGTATGCTAAATGTCCCAAGCATAGCTATATACAAACTGTACATCCATATCACACACTACATGTAGCATGGCAAGACAACAGTCCCAGAAAGTATTCTAAAGTGGCAATGAATAAAAATTGAAGAAAAAAAAAGGACCTTTTTTGCAGTGGATTCAGACACACTCACTATGGAAGATTGTGTTGTGAATTTTCTTTAAAAAGTTTGGGTTGGCATTGAGCTGAGTCTTTTAGAACATTGTGTCATGCATTCGAAAGCACCTAAGTGGCGTTAGGAACCCAAGTTCCATTGATTATCTTCTAATTGCAATTTTTTTTTATTTTTATAAGTGGGCTTTATGATATACTTGAAAAATCCTCCACTCTCAGAGGTTCTGTAGATTTTTGCCATTTCCATCATAAACTTTGCACTCTCTTAAGTCTCATCCTTCTTAACAGCCTTGTTGGTAAAGATAACTATTATTTAATTTTTGCTTCAAATAAAATACAGTAGAATTTAACATCAATTTTAAATCCTGTTCTCTATATGTATTTTTTTGTTAATATTTATAAGAGAAAGTTTAATCTAAATGAGAGTTTCAACTACCTGGAATTTTGACTGTTTGCTATGCATTTTATGATCCTCTTCAGAATCACTTGTCAGTTAAGAATTCTGGTAAAAATTATTTGAGGAACTTCATTCTTTCAGTTGCAGTTAAAATTGGTTAAAATATTCTTCTTTTCCTGTCCTAAAACTGTGTGAAACATTTCTCTGTGATCTTAAGCACTCGGTGTGTTTCACACCAGAGATGGCTGCATATTAGGGGAGGATGAAGTGATTTCTGTGTATATCTATTAATGTGTGCGTTTTTATAGTGTGACATATTTGTTCTATTTTACATAATATGCTTTTAAAGTTTTGGTTGAGTACTCAGTTATCTTTCAAGATGAATGACATTGTATACATGCAAAATATTATCTGGGGTTTCTTTCCTAACTGAAATATTATATAATTTTTGAAAATTACAATCTGCATAGTCTTCTGAATTATTACAAGCTGCCTTTTGTTAGTGATATAGTTATTATTACTTTGCAGATTTAGGTTTGTGAACTCTGGATTCAATCCTGCAAACCCTCTGAGTCCCACTGAAGTTAATGGGATTATTTCGCATAAATAAGGACTAAAATAAATAAGGGTTTTCAGGATTGGACCTCTATTAGTTTATGAAAATAGTAGGAAAAAACATCAAATCTAGGGTGTGTATAAGAAGCCTTTTATTAGAAAAGTCTCTTTAAACTTTACTTGAGGCTAAAGAATCCATTACTTGGAGAAATGGAGAGTCTTGGGACATAGTGTTTACTAATATAAATTGTCCCATAATTGCAGTGCTCTGCTAGTAGCATTTGCAGGATCAGATCCTTGATTTGTATTTTTTTCTGCTAAAAATAATTAGTTAAATGATTTATTGCAATGTTTAGATATGTCTTGGTATATTCTCCCATGGATGCTTGTGGGAGCTGAAGTGAGCATATTACCTCAGGATACTGCACTCTCTGCTCTATATACAATAATAGATGCAATAGAAATGCCTAGATTAGAAAAACAGACACCTAGGGATTATGTCAGTGTAAGAGTTCTAGCAGAAGAAGAATCTGTCCTGAATTTTTAACCTAGCAGATGGAGCTAAGGTGACCGCTAACATTAAAGATTTCCAGGCTACTCCTGAACTGACAATGGAACCAAATTCTCTCTCTCAGTTTAGGTCTCTATAGGAAAAAGGAACCCGAAAGAAACAGAATGAAGGAAGAAGTTTCTGTGGATCTGTTCAAGTCCATGAACTTGTGTTAGGCTTCAAAGAAAGCTTGAGAGAGAGAGTGAGAGCAAATAGTGTTGATGAAAGCTTGGCAAAAACCAGATGTTTGCCATTACTATTTATTTGTCATTGATGTTTCCAGTATTGTGGGGCTTAAGTACGTATTACAACCAGTAAGTCAAAGTATGTTGCATATGAAAGTGGTTTTCAGTTTTAATTGCATTTTAAATATAATTCTGTAATTTAGCTTGATTAGATAATCAGCGAAGATAGTTTTTTCTCTCTTACTCTAAGCACCCGAAAAAGATGCCATATGTTGTTGAATCTTTTTAAGGAGTGATAAATATGCATAAATGATAAAATCAGATGTGATTACTATAATTGTTTTTCCCCTCCCCCTCTTAATACAGTGCCATTTAGAGAGGCCCCTACCTATTCAAACAGGAGGCGAAGGCCCCAAAGCACCTTGGCAGCACCTCGTGTCTTACTTCGTTCCAACAGCGATAACAATCTGAACATCAACAACATCCCTGACTGGTCAGCTTCATCATCTGCTTCTTCACACCGCAGCCTTTCACCTCACCTACTTCAACAGATGCAGAATAATCCTAATGGAACTGTAAAAACTGTTGGGAGTTATACCCCATCCTCTCGGAGTCGGTCGCCATCATTAAACAGGGTAGGAGAGGATGCAAAAAGACAGCAACATAGGCACATCAGGTGATCTTTTTCAATATTCCTACAGCATGAAATATACCAGTTTATTGACACACTGACCACAATATTCATTAGTACAGATTTATTATAAATGTCCATCTTGGGCCTAGGGTAGATGTGAACATTTGAAGGAAATCATATGCATTGGAGCAATGTCCAAAAGCTAAACTTGTCAACACCTCTAACCATTGCTTTCAGATACTCTTATCCACTCCATCCCTTTCCTCACAAAGTCTGCGTAAATAGGTAAACCTAGCAGTATGATCTGAAGCTTACCAAATCATGCTTTGGTATCCCCTACCACTCCCCTCCTATTTCAACCAGGGTGTTAGTAGAGCTGGAGATAATTTTTCAGACACTTTCAAAATGTAACATTCTGATTTTTTTCAATTCCAAATGACCTTTTGTTTTGAATTTTGATTTTATTTTTAAAAGGTTAAACTCAAAAACAAAATGAAATGTTTCATCCAAAACAAACATTGTTTTACTTTTTCGGTTTACCAAAAAGTTTGAAATTTGAAATTTTTGTTTCCAGTTGACCCAAAACAATTTTTTGTTTTCTGTGTTTTGGTTCAGCCAATGAATTGAAAAATCAGTTATTCATACAGCTCTAGATGCAAGTAGCTTGAGAGTCTTGTATGGTTGTAACAGCTCTAATAAATCATGGGGAAAGAGAGACTCTCTGAGGTAGTAGGGACCAAATTATCTCTTATGGCTGTAGTCTGCTTACTCTACAGTTGGGCGAGGGGTACTGTTGTCCATCAAGTTGTTGATGGAACCTGAGTCAATTGCTTTCTTCCATCCCCCTTCCCAGAAAGCATTCAAGGCCAGTTAGAGGCAACATACCCAACTCCACAGCCTCTTGAAGTCCCACTTCCCCTGATCTGGAGCTGAGCAGTATGCAAGAAGGAAGAAAAAGTGGAGGACTATGGAATTCCTGTGGGCTGGTTAGGGGGGTTGGTGGGGGCGGAGCTGGGGAGGGGCAGCAGCTGGAGGCTGTGGTGGTAGGGAACAAGCATCTTCTTCTGTTCCTACTTTCTGCAGGGCCCTAACACTTGAGGATTTTGCTGCTTTATTTTTTCCCCCTTGACTAGTGAGTGTGACCCAGTGGGTGCCCCCATCAACCTACTTATGGACTGTGCCCACTGGATGAGAAGTCTTGCTTCATTGGAGAAAGGTGGATGCTGGCATACATTTTAATAGAACAAAATTGATAGATTAGGTGTGAATGCTTTATCTTTTAAAGAATGTCAGTATACTCCAAAATGTGGCCCTATAAAGGGATAATTGCAGTTTAAGTTAGGGGGAGAGTGAGAGACTCAAATAGAATTTAAATACAAATAAACTTAATTCTATTGTCATTCAGAATAATGGGCTTTCTCTGTCATATTTCCTGATCTCAATATGAAAAAAGAAAACAAATATTGTCAAGTAGCAGTGTTGGCTACTGTTGGGTGTCACTTTGATATTATGTATAATAGATTTATATCTAAATTTGTAGTCATTAAAGCAAAAGAGAATTTGGCTGACGTTATCATTTTCCTATTACTTTCTTCCCTTACTTTGCTCCTTTTTTTTCTTCTCCTTCCCCTCTTCAGTTATGGGCACCCAGCTAACACATGTTTTTTGATAGTGGCATCAGCAATACCACCAGAGTTGTCTAATGTTGCAATCTACAACATTCACAACACTTTTGTTTAAATCACATATGGCATTGACCACTGCACGAGATCGGATTCTGAACTTCATAGGCCAGTGGTCTGATCCAATATAGCAAAGTGTTCCAATGTTGTATATTGTAGTAACTGTGCAAAGTCATTCAATTATTACCTTTGGCCTCACTCCTGCATAGAGAACCTTGTGGGCAGATCCTTTTATCTATCTGGAGACTACAGTAGGATTCTGCATAGATGCAGAGGTCCACCTGTTAAATTGTCTTTGCCAGGGACCCTCCTATTTGTTCCTTCCAGTTAGAGGGAATGTGTTTTGCTTTCTCCAAAGGACAATCTAGCTAAAAGCTATTTAAAAACTTGGCTTCTAATTAGAATATACAATGTTACTAGAATAATATCTCTAGGTTCTTGGAACATAATTTGTTGATTTATGGAGCTGGGCAAATAATGCAAAAACTTTCTGTGAATATTAATTCATTTTTAAAAATGAATTTGCTTTGTCTGCTCTCATCCCTCTTCGGTGCTCACTGTCTGTGAATGCTTGAGTGAGTTTCACCAGCATAAATGTTAACAGAAGCCAATTTCATGCTGGAAAATTTGTGGAAACCAAATGCTAAGTCCTCCATGTGCAAGTATTTGTACTGAAACTACTTGCACACTTACCCAAACATAGAGTAGAAACAGTGCCATGTGGTATAACATATAAATATACATCCCAGGCGCCTCCAGTGCATCTGCTGGTGGTCCACAGAAAGCTGGCTGGTCACATGGTGCTAGCTCTTATTTCCAGCTTCTAAATTTGTTGAAGACCACTGAAACACTTTCCTAATGTTCTGTGCAACTGTAATGCCAACAGACCTCCAGTCGTCGGTGGATGGGATTGAACCGGGGACCTCTGGAGCTTAGTGCATGAGCCTCTACCACATGAGCTAAAAGCTAACTGGGGCTTAGCTAAGGCTGTAGAGCAGATACATTAATTGCTTTCTTTCTCTCGCTAAGTGGTCTCGGTGCCACTAGATGGGAGAGAACAGCACACCCGGAAAGTGTGTGGATTATACAACTAGTGCTGTAGTTACCACAGAGATGTTGTGCAGTCATGAATGGGGGAATGCATAGGACTCCTTCCACCAATTCTCTTCCTTGAAGTATCACCAAGCCTTTACTTTGAGCTTGAAGGGTAATCTTTGTTCTCTCCCCTTACTATTTGCTAGTGGTTCACATAAAACTGTCCCTCACTTTAGTCCAAAAAGCCCCAGTCAATTCAACAAAAGTTTTTTGTGGCTTCCTGCAACCTAAACCAAAGAAAGCAAAAAGCAATGAAAGTGAGTAGCTTGCTCCAGCCAGTCCCCAATAAACATACATTTTCCATAAATCAATCTTTCTGTCGCTCCATGGTGAGCACCTCCTGCTCGTGAATGAGCTTTTTGAAGAGTTCTTCCATTTCTCAGGAACAGCTTTCATCTCCCCATTCTCTTAAAGCCACACCTGTTTACAGTTCTGATTAAACTCAGCTGCTCCACTTTCTTTCTCTTCTTGGATCTACATTAACCCCTTCCTCTCCCTCTGGATGCAAGGGTTTGTACATCCCATCAATGAGGGGAGGATGCCTGTGATCATGATTGGAATCGGAAGTATTCACAAGAAAATCAGTCTATTAAAATGAAGGGGGGGGGGAAAGGCCTTACTCCCTTCCCCCCAAAAGAAGGGAGGTTGAATCTTTTGATAGGTACGACATAAGAGGCTAGGATGTGACCATATGTACAATTGTCCTGACCTATTTCATCCATCTGGTATTTTTCTTCTTGAAATACTAACCAGCCTTCACGATTAAACTGGGATTTATTGGAATGGAAGATGCCAGCTAAGATTAAAGGAAGCAGCATCTGTAGTACTTGGTCCTAGCAACAGGGTTAAAGGAGACCCACTCTCTCAGTAGGAAAGGGGACTCTTTGATTTAAGAAGTGGTGATGGTTCATATCCTAACTCATAAGGTTTGGAGGATTTATACTCTACCAGATTAGATATCCCCTATACCAGGGATCGGCAACTTTTGGCACGTGGCCCGCCAGGGTAAGCACTCTGGTGGGCCAGGCCAGTTTGTTTACCTGCCGCGTCCGCAGGTTCAGCCGATCACGGCTCCCACTGGCTGCGGTTCACCGCTCCAGGCCAATGGGGGCTGCGGGAAGCCGTGGCCAGAACATCTCTCGGCCTGCACCGCTTCCCATGCCATCCCACGCCATCCCATGCCAATGGGGGTTGAGTGTATAAGAATACCTGATTTGTATATATTGCAGTGCTGTAACTTGCACAGGGTGGCTGATCTGGTCAGGACAGGGTGGCAAACCTGCTTAGTCCAGGGAATTAGGAGGTGCTGTTTAGGCCTAGGACACTCGTTATATAAGCATAGAGAGTAGTGGAGATGAATAGAATGAGATGGCTAGTGAGACCTAGGGTTACCACTACCTCTTTCACTTTCAGCAGCTGCCACCGCCTAGTGAGCTTTCACCAACAGACCTCCAGCCTGCATAGCCCCTTGAAACACGAAGTGGAGTCTGTGTTTACTGGCACCAGTCCTTGGCTCTAAAAGAAAAGAAGGAAAAATAAATCTAGAAAATGATCAAGTCTGAGATCAAAGGCTCCTGATAATGTACTGCAGTGAAATTGATTTGGGTGGATGGGGCAAAGCCTTCCTTATTCAGGTGTTCCACTATGTTAAACGTCTTCCAAACTTCCCTTGTTTACTTTTTATCAACAGCTTTGTTGACACAGTCTTCATTCTTTCCCAGTGGATTATTCTCTCTCTCCCCCCCACCCCCGTTTTGGTTAAAGACTGTAAGTCATCATTGATATTTGTTTCCCTCATACATTAGAATGCCTACTTTCACTTTATCTTCTTTACACCAAAAATATATTTGTGAAAGCTCACCTTGTTCCCCTCAGGCTGAGCTAGCCAGTGAAGTTTTCTGAATTATCTATATATGCTAGCTCAGGCAAAAATCCTGCTTGCTCTCCCTTGCCATAATGGTGTTTTTTGTTTAAAAGGATATCTTACTCACCAAATAAGCCAAATAAAAACACCCATCCTTCTCATCCCAAGCAATTACGCAAGTATTAACTCATTCTGTTTTTTTTTCTCTGCCCTTATCTTTCCCCTGAAAACACTGATTATTTCTGTGTATTCTTGTTTCCTTTGCATATATTCTATTTTCAGCATTTCCATGTAAGGCTTCTTGTTCCTTGAATTTATCCTTAGCAGTGGAACTGTAGCATGTTGCACCTTTTTTATGATGCCTTTTAAGATTCTTCCACCCACACTTGAATTTTACCATTTCCTCCCTGGCACCACACATCGTTTCTTAAGTATTGTAATATTTGATTTCCTGAAAGGAAATGTCTTTGTGGTGATGTGATCTAGCCTCAAGCTTCTCTATTTTCCACCCTTTATCAATGAATTCTTCCTTATTCAAAACAAGTAGATAAGTGTTCATATTTTGATCATTGATAAGAAACATCCTCTGAAATTATACTGTATCAAAGACATGATGCATCTTTGGGTACACTCAGAGTTGTGGTTTTGGTTCAGGCCCATGAATGTTACTATAGAACTATTGTGAACACACCAATTCACAGCAGTAATTGTAGATTTTAGTCATCTAAAGTGTTCTACTTATTTCTTTTGCATCATTATGATGTGCATATATATATTGAGCATTGGCCTGCTAAACCCAGGGTTGTGAGTTCAATCCTTGAGGGGGCCACTTGGGGATCTGGGGCAAAATCAGTACTTGGTCCTGCTAGTGAAGGCAGGGGGCTGGACTTGATGACCTTTCAAGGTCCCTTCCAGTTCTAGGAGATGGGATATCTCCTATTATTATTATAAAAAGTGTGTAAATTAAATTAGCTGAAGGGATGGAAAACTGCCTGGTTGTCTCAGTTATTGTCCTTTCACATTTTGTTTTAACAAGACTGTCATTAGTTGACCTTTTCCACTTCAAAGATTATCTAAAAAATAGGGTGTCCAGACTAACAAACTAGTTTTGTTTTCCCAGTAATACTGCCTTTTTGCAAACTGCATACTTATTGCATATTCTCACCACTAAATATGTTCTGTTGTGTCATGAGAACAGAACAATATTAATGTCAATTTTAAATGATAAACTAATGCTGTTTCATTGCAATCCCCAGTGCCGGTTATAATCCCAGTGCCAACAAGGATGCTATCGCTGCCTTGGATTATCAGGGTCCAAAACGCAAACTTTACAGTGCTGTACCTGGAAGACTTTTTATTGTCGTCAAGCCATATCAACCTCAAGGAGAAGGAGAGATTCATCTGCACAAAGGGGACAGGGTGAAAGGTTAGTCTTTTCTCCATTAGTTCCTGAGTAACCATAGCATTTTTTTCTGATTATACACAGATCTTGTTTTTAAAGCCCTACATTATCTCATCTATAATAGAATAATGTATTTTGTTTAGCTCATATGTTAATAGATCTATTATTTTCACTCCAGTATTTCTTTACACCAGATTTTGCTAATAATTCATGGACTTAGTTATATTTTCTAACAAAATGTATTCAACTACCATTTTTGTTATAAACAATTTACGCAGTGGGTGCCATTGAAACTTAAAAGTACCTGCAGTAACAATGGTATCTTCCTATACTTAGAATAAGAGGCACAGAACTGCAGTTATTGTAGAGGGGCAAATGTTGAGTTTTAAGGATGTTGTAAGATGGCAGACTATCTCATCAACCCAGGAAGGAAGGAATGCTGTGTCTGAGTCTGATTCAGACCTTACATCAGGACACAGTTTATTGGTTTAAACAAAAAACTTGTAACACAAAAATAAAGCAATTCCCTTGCCCAGCATGGGCTGCAGTTCCCAGAGGCATTTTCCTTTCTCTCTCTCTGAATCTCTGGAAGGAGGATATACTGGGTCATGTGACACTTAAATTTTTTCTGTCTGTTCTACCATGACATGAGGGGGGAGGGGCACTTTAAATAGTGCTGGGGGGGGGAGGTGAAGAGGGAAATATCTTTTCAGGTAAAAGGGAAATTAATGGCTACTAGTTTGCTTGAAAGCCAAGAACACGATCCAAGTCAAGATCTAACTTAGGTTATGTCTACACTGCCCTGCAGTTCAGACTGCGGGGCTGCAAACAGCCGTGCGCACCAAAGTGCTTTGCTGTAAGTATCCTGTGTGGACACTGCAGGCGCAAACTAAAAGGTTCCTAGAAGAGGACTATGTTAATGAGACTAGTAACCCTTCAGTTCACATCTGCAGTGTCCACAGGGAAGCTACAGAACAGCACTTTGGTGTGCACTGTTGTTTGCAGCCCCGTAGTCTGAACTGCACGGCAGTGTAGACATAGTCTTAGTCAGGGCTGGCTCTAGGCACCAGCAAACCAAGCACGTGCTTGGGGCGGCACATTTTCAGTGGTGGCATTTCGGCCATCTTTTGTTGTTGTTGTTTGTTGCTTCGGACAGCAAAAGCCTAGAGCTGGCTCTGGCAGCAGCAGCGCGGGGGCCTGTGGTTCGCGCCATGGAGGAGCAGCACCTGCACCTTGTGGCTGGGCTGGGCCGGCTCCGAGCGGGGAACACTCGGGCTGGGGGCCGCCCCGCGGGGCACACAAGCTGCCTTCAGGTGCCGCCCCCCAGCGCCACAGTCGGGGCTGGGCGTAGCAGCCCGAGCCGCCCAGGGACTGCGGCAGGGTGGCCAGCAGCAGCAGCGGGGCCATAAAGGGCGGGGCACTGCCATGTGGGGCCCACATCCCGCTCTCCGGGGCTCTGCTCCCTTTGGGGCTATCCTGCCCCAGCTCCTCAGCCCCCTGCCAGGGTGGTCCCCCAGCTCTGCCCTCCTGAGTCCCTGGGCTGAGGCGCGGCCCGGGAGCCCCGCTGCTTACCCCAACCCTGCCAGCGCCAGACCGGCTGGAGGCGATGGGGGAGCGGGCGGAGTCAGCACTGGTGGGGGGGAGGCCAGGGCTGGGGCGGCAGGGGGTGCGGGTGGGGTAGGGGGAGAGAGAGCCCAGGGCTGGGGTGGCAGGGGGTACGGGTGGAGGAGGGCACTGGTGGGGGTGAGAGCCCAGGGCTGGGGTGGGGGGCAGCCAAAAAAGTTTTTGCTTGGGGCGGCAAAAAACCTAGAGCCGGCCCTGGTCTTAGTGTTACTTTTCAAGACAGCAGATGCATCCCAGATGTGACATGCTCAGTTTGTGGAAATGAAGGGCTGCATTGACACCATTGTTCTTGCCCTCCTGGACAGTAGTATAGTGCCAGATTGGTGAAGTTGGTAGAGGTTAAAATGTGGGTAGAATGGCAGGAAACCCACACACCTTTCCCATCTGGCCCACAGATAAAAACTTTGCAACACTGTGTAGGTTGTCAGTAGTACTTATCTACATGATCATTTTAGCTGATCTATAATGTTTGATTCCCCCACCTCTCTGATTATTAACCATTAATCATTGAGACATGGTGGCAGATTCTCTGTATAATTCTACTGTAGAACCTCAAAGATAAGAACATCAGAGTTATGGATGGAGGCACCAAATTTGGGATTTCCCTGGAGTTGCTAGACTCCCTTTTTGCCCCAAGCTCCCATCCCGCCCCTTCCCACCCATATTCTGCCCCACCCCCACCTCTTCATGTCCCTGCTCCTCCCCCTCCCCCTCAGCACCTCCTGTATGCCGCTGAACAGCTGATCACAGCAGGCACTGGGAAGGCGGGGGAGGAGCTGATCTGCAAAGCCCGCTGGCAGGCGGGAGGCGCTGGGGGCAGAGGGAGGAGCTGATCCATGGGGCTGCCAGTGGATGCTGAGCACCACTATTTTTTTTCCTGTGAGTGCTTCAGCCCTCCCCGCCCTGCGGCTTCAGCCCCAGTCTCCTGCTCTGCCCTCCGTGGCTGAAGTCCGTAACCTTTTCTTTAGTGTTACGGAACATTTCAGAGTTACAGACGTCCTCCATTCCCAAGGTATCTGTATCTCTGAGGTTCTACTGTAATCCCTTTTGTTTTAGGGCAGCCTCCAAGTCTCCTACTAGAGATCCCCATGGCCAACAACACAAGGGGCATATTAGGAAAGGACATTTTAAGGTGTCTCTGTGGGGTGTGAGGAGTACCCGAGGACAATGCACTCCAGCTATCCCCAACTGCCAAACAGTCTTTTGGGCCATGGTCTCATGATCCTTTGTGGCTTAAAATAGAGAAACCTCAGGACATTTAGAGTGCACCCCAACCCCCCCCCCAAATGATTATGAATATTTGATCTTAATAAAGTGATTAGTGTAGCATTTCCTTCTTGTTCTGATTATTAATCATGATGGAAATACTGGAGAGCGTAAATCAGGTTCTTCTTCGAGTGCTTGTTCATGTCCATTCAAATCAGGTGTGTGCATGTGCACATTGGCCAGAAGATTTTTCCCTTAGCTGGCCTGGGTGCCCCCTGTAGTCGTGCCCTCATGGTGCCTAATATATAGCACTGCCGACCCGCCACCCCTTCAGTTCCTTCTTACCGCCAGGAACGGTGGCTGGAGCTTCCCTTAGCTCTTGCTCAGCAAGTTTATTCTTTATCTGGTTGTATATGGTAAGTCGTTAGAGTTATTAGAGTCTTAATTTAGAGTTTGTCACCCATCCCCCACACTCCGGTTCCTGGAGCTGTGGTATGCTGCGGTCCCTGGGTTTCAAAAACTGTGTGGCCTACGCCAAGCACATGCCAAAGAGTGACCCACACTCATTGGGTCTACAGTGCCTGGGGGAGACCAATCAGAAAGATCGTTATAAGACGCGAGTTCCATCTGCGAACTCTTAAGGAAAGGGAACAGTGGCTCAAGGTGATCCTCATGGAGGCAGCTCTACACCCCCATTCCAACCGGGGCTTGGGAGACCCGACTCCTACTGCGTAGTCCTCAACGTGGAGCGCTCCGGCGCCGTTGGTGAGCTCAGCGCCGAGAAAGGACTCTTCTTGAGACACTTGGCACCAACATGGCTCCTCATAGGGCCTGTCTGATAATAGGCACCGTTCCTACTCACTGGTGCCTCAAAAGAAGAAGAAGCCAGACGATCGCTCTCCTCTGGCCAAGCCCTGGGATGTGCAATCCCAGGCGGGCATCTCCTCGGGATCCCCTGCTGGGGCCACGTCGACTCCCGCTCAAGTGCGGCAGTCGAGTCCGGCCCTGCCTCAATCACCGGTGCCTACACAGCAGCTGCAGGTCCTGTCGATCTGGAAGTGTACCAGGCTGCTCGGGACCTTCTCCATCTTACGGCACCGTTCTCACCTGCCAGGGAGAAACCCTCAGCACTGGCAGATCCGCGTCCTCCAGTACATTCGAAGGGGAAGCTGGCTATGATGTTGAGACGCTCCCCCTCGCCATGTACCTCGGCACCTACCCGCTCGGACAGAGAGTGTACCCGCTTCCCGAGCTCTCGACGTTCGAGACACAGAGGATCAGCTACTCCGTGGTCTTCAGTGTCTGAGACCTCGGTGTCCAAATCCGAATCCTATCGCTCTGAAAGGAGCAGAAGTCACAGATCGAAGTCCGGTAGAGACAGGAGAGAGCCCCAGGCATGGCCTCCGCAGTGGCAGAACCCGGGTCAGTGGCCCTTCTGGACCCCCTGAGCTTTTCACCAGGGCCAGGCAGGAACCCAGGGTCCATGGTCTGCAACATCTTCCATAGCCTCCGTGCCACCTTCTGCAGCCTCTGGCTCCAGCTCCGTTGCTGACTCCGGCATTGTGCTCAGAACGGACCTTGGCACTGCCCTTCACGGCGTTGACGCACCCATCTCCTACGCCTGCACCTTTGTCGATGTTGACCTCAATGCAGGCACCGAGCCCCACACTTCTGGTGGCTCCTATGAGCGTGCTGATGCATCTCACTCCCATAGGGCTGATGGCGGCACCGACGTGTGCTTCGACGTCCACAGCCCCAGCACCGTCAACAGTACCACTACCTCCAATGGGAGTCACGTGACTCCTCTGGGGCAGATGGTAGGGAGCTTCCACTACTGGCGCATGCTTCCTCCTCTTCGTCGCTGGACGAAGCATTGGTGGGGACAGCCATAGCCCCTGTGTTAAAGGACAACAGAGTGCTACAGCAGCTGCTGCGCAAGGCCGCCATGGATCTGGGCATCAAGGCCGAGGAGGTGATAGAGGAGGCAGATTGCATGGTGGACATCCTAGCACCCTTGAGACCTTCACGTATAGTCTTGCCACTTATAAAGGCCATGGACACTGCCAGCTGCCAGTGAAACCTAAGAACCTGTGGCAGACGCCGGCATCCTTGCCACCTACTGATAAGCACAATGAGCGGCGGTATTTCGTCCCCTCCAGAGGGTTCGAGCACTTGACTCGCTGGTGGTCGATGCA